CCAAGAAATATTACGATTTTGAGGCCAAACATAGCGATGAAACCACCTCCTAGAAACTTAAAAACCAAAATTATCAATAAGTAAATGAAACACACAAGTTTCAACATGGCAAATAACAAGTTAGGTTAAAAAATGGTCATGAATTACCAAAACTTTCTCAGACACACTTAAATACAGAGAAGAAAACATTCTCCTTCTTTTCAAGTGTATTGGCATCTGGGACTTAATGAGTGTGGATGCTTTTTTCCAAAAAAAAGGCTTTACGCAAAACAAAACAAAAATACAAAAAAAATCTATATTCAAAAACACATGCCTGCTAGACTGTAACTGTACTAAAAGGTTATAACATCTATAAAAAGTTATTTTTGGTTAAAATGTCCATACATTTTCCCCTTGCTTGTATTAAAGCAGACCAACAGTGGGTCCAGGTGTAGCGGGGGTCCTACCTGAGTATCTCTAGTATCTGTTCAGTGGTTTTTCCATCCTCACTAAATGACAGATCCAGCTGCTGCTGTTGCTGCAGCTGGCGACCCCTGCTGGCCATTTCATCCATCTGTTGGTGCAGGAGAGCATTCTGTTTTCCAAGTTCCTCAAGGCGAGACTTCAGGCTGGACAGCTCTTCCTGCAAAAGATTGAACCGTGAAATATGCATCTTTAAGTATAATAACAGATCATCAACGATGAGGTTGGCGTATGATCCCTCTACCTTTAGTCGTTTCTCTGTTGCACTCCAGGCTGCAGTTTTCTCCTGAAGGAGAGAAGTAGTTTTCTTCAGTTCTTCTTCCATCTCCCCCTTGCGTATTGCTTCTTTGTGGGATATTTTCTTCAGCTGCTGCAGAGCCTCCACATCAGCAGCATGAAGCATCAGCTCTCGCTCATACTTTGCCTGTGCCTCTCCAGCTAACTTTGTCTGAGGAAAAAACAAAGTTTTAGAAGTCTGCTGCAAAGTCCTGATTACCAGATGGACCACAGGGTGTGGGATTTAACCAGTGGGGGTTGTTAGCAAATGGACCTGTAACAGGCTGTCCTGTGTGGCTTTCTGTTCCTGAGTGAGTGCGGCAGCAGCTCTCTCCAGGGCCTCCTGCTGCTCTGCCTGACTGGCCTTCAGACTGCGCTGCAGCTCGCACACCTCAACAGACAAATCAGATCTTAGAATTATTCACGACTCATTAAAAACAGCTATTCAACATAACTTGGAGAAAATACAAAACAAGGTCAGCTAATAAATGCAACCACATTTTTTTTGGACTGTAACTTCCTTACTTGTTTCTCCACTGCCTCCACAGCCTGCCTCTTCTCCTCCAGCACCTGCTGCTTCAGTTTCTCCACCTCTAAAATCTTACTCTCCAGCTGCTTCTGTGCCTCCTCCGAAGTCTTCAGTCGGATCTCCAGAGGAGAGCGTGACTACAGCAAGGAGAGAAACGATAAGCATTGGGTGTGTTTGCTCTTTTACGTTCAGCCAAAATCGCAGCATTGATCCCTTTACCTCCTTTTCTTTCTTTAAACTGTCCTCCAGTGTTTGAACTACAGATCGGTACTGTTCAACTGTGGTATTAGCATTCTTTAGCTGTTCCTCCAGTTCAGCGTTTTGCTCCTCTGCACTTCGTAGCTGAGCCTTCACTTCTGAAAGCTCCTGTTCTGATTGGCTGATTTGCTGAGAAGCGGGCGGGACTGGGGAGTGTACTGTGGGAGATCAACCAAGACACAGGACTGTCATCAGGGATACAAAAAAAAAAAAAATAATAATTCTTCCCTTTAAATGCTGGATTATTAATCTGCAAATGCATGTACCTCTCAGTGGCTGCCTGAGGCCAGCGGCTCTGCCAGCGGGGGTAGTCGCATTGCTGGAAGCAGCAGCAGCTTCAGAGGAGGAAGCAGAGGCCAGCTGAGCTTTCAGTTTAGCCACCTGTTGCTCAGAGCCACTCAGCAGCTCCTTGGTCTTCTGCAGCAAGGTGCTTTGTGTCGCCAGCTGCCTCTTTGCTTCTAATAACTGTGCCTACAACCCAGCAGGAAGGAACAAAATCAAAACCATGACATTGCAACATCCTTCTTTATTGAGGAACCTCTGCATTTAATTGACAAGGAGAGAAAGATTTTCTTTACATCCATGGTGCGTCCAAGGGCATGTCTTTGTGCGACTTCCTCCTCCAGCTTGGACTTCATCACAGCCACTTCAGCCTCCAGTTGCTCTATTTTGTTGTTAAGTCGCTGGCGAGTCTCTGTGTCTGTACGCTCCATAGACAACTTGGGAGGGAAGGAAGGAAGGAAGGAAGGAAGGAAGGAAGGAAGGAAGGAAGGAAGGA